CAGGATCTAGGGAACTGTAACATTAAGCAATGCAGTCACCCTCGGAAGTATGAATAAAAAATGGCAAGAATGATTTACTGTCATTCCAACTAAGACCCTAGAAAGAAGCAGCAAGATAAAAGCAAATGCTGATGAGACAAAGGAACCTGCTGTTAAGGAAACCTCTTAGGAAAAGCAGTAGTGCTTCTCTGGGCTACAGCAGGATGTAACAGTGGCTGCTGTGAGTCAGATGAGAGGTGTCTGCACAGCCTAGGCCAGGACATGAGCCATTAGTGGCTGCTGAGGAAAGAACCACAAGAACAGGACAGGTATGTAGAGACACTGCAGTGGAATGTAGTGGCTTTGTACAGTTTGCAGCTCATTAACTTTGAAAAGGATGTGAGATCTTAATCTTCAAGCCTCCACCACATTTTCTTTGATTGGTTTGACCAGTTGCCCTTGGAGCCAACAGACCTTTTACCAGCCATAGTACTTCCTATTACTGAAATGTGAAGCACTGCCTCATCTTCGTATTTGGGCTGTCTGGCTTATATTTAACACCCATGGACCAAAAGGCATATAAAACTGCTTCTGATATGGTCACACAGACCACAGGCCTAGCCTATGCCCCTTCTGCTTCTCTTAGAGGAGTAACTTTCTTCCTGTATAGCATTTTGCCTTAAAATTATTCTCTTAAAGCCTAGTTCAACACATCTTCAAGTTTCCTTCTTTCAACTGCAAAATTGCCATATCACCAGTTTCCGCATACGAATGTGTTGGCAGGAAGGTTAAAAGAAAAGCCAAAGCACTAACTGTTCTTTTCAGCTTGAATGTTGAGGGCAATAGGAAGACTTCAAGCAAACTACTTTCAGTTTAGACCAAAAAAAAGTAATGGAAAACCTGCATTTTGAGTAGTTTAATCATACTACCTCATGCTGAGCAATAACAACAGACAGAACTGTTAAATTACTAACCTACTTCAGCAGTTTTGAAGGATAGCTTTTTGAAGGGGCTTATTATTGAAAGCATAAAAACCTCAGGAGATGAACATACTTGGCTACTCTCCTGTTGCCTTGTGGAAGCAGCACAGAGGTCTCCATCCTGATTTTTTTCCAGTAGCAAAAGCCAGGAATTCTGTTTCTGTTCACCTCCCTTCTTACTCTTCAGTCACTTTTCCTGTACTGCCTTTTAGTCTTGCAGGAGCTGCCTGTTACTTACATGTGATGTTAGAATATAGATCTTTGTTAAAGAGATTATTAAATGATTCAGACAACACCAAACTAAAGCATCAATCTTTATTTATAAAGTAAATTACAAAATAGATAAGGTATATTTAGTTAATTTTAGCATCTGAAGGTGGTGCTCATGGAATACATAGACACTGTAAATCAAGTTTCCTTTATCAGTGTGTTTATATCCAAGTAATAGAGCAATTATTACCTTGATTCGTTTTACAAAGCTCAGATAGGAGTGTTTTAAAAAGATCAAATTCTCCCTACATTGCAACATTAACATTTCAAAAATAATTACCGGTCATGTCAATTAACTGTTCAATAGCTTGTGAGTTAACTGCAAGCAGCTGCATTGCTTTTGGGCATTATGGAAGCCAACAACAATTTTGAATAGACACTTTCAATGATTAAATGACCAGAGACAAAAAAGGAAGAACTTTCATTAATGCCCTGTTTTGTGCTGGCTCTGAACATTCATTAACAGTAGTGGTGTTATGTGAGGCAACTACGCAGAAGTAAACGTGACAGATCTCACAAAAAGAGCAGATGCTGCTTATTGCTTTGTCAGGAGAGGAGCTACCCGAGGCCTGGAGAGGCAGTCGGCAGCGCAAGACTTCATACAGGGGAAAAGGCGAGAAGGAAATACACTTAGGACATGACCCTGCTGGCTGCTCACAGGTTTGTACACCTACATGGAGTAATTTCAAGTCAGATAATTTACAATGTCTGCTTTGGGCCGAACTAAAGCAGCTCATTTTAAACTCCTTCACATAATCACTTAACCAGCTCTCAGCATCCTCCAGATTAAGCTTTCTGCCTCCTGCCCTCTTCTACCTAGGGCAGGATTAGATAAAAAAAAAACCCACAACAGAAAACCCTGAAATACAATGTGCACATAACCATATCAGGTCAAACTCTTCATTATTTCAAACATCTGGTATTAAAAAGCTGAATTTCTGTACTGGCTCCAAA